GAGCTTATATTGGTTTTGAATGGGATTTTAATATTGTTTATCAATATTGGTTTTATATGGGGCCTTTATTGGTTTTAATATTGGATTTATATGGGAAAATGTTAACAGAATAATATTATAGCAATATTGGTAAACAATATAGAGCCCATAAAAAGTACAATATTGCGCCACGATTCATTTCTACTAGGGGGGCAGTTCGATTATTGTTCACACCACTATTATTTTGTTGACTTCACGTAACCATCAAGGTTAAGTTCAAGTAAATATTGTTAACTAAGCATTTTTAACAAAAACAATTACGAGCATTGCCAGGTCCGAATTTCATAACAGAAATATTTCAAAGTAAAATAATTGTAAAGATAAGTAACAAAGTCAAGTAATAATATAAAAGACTCAGAAAGTAATATTGAAAAGTTAGTGACTCTAGTTAATGACTTTGAGTATCCTATCAAGAGTAAATTTACATCTGTTGATCTTTTCATTACGTCGCGATTTTTAATGTGGCTTTAAATGCCAGTAAGGCGAAATGCCTAAAGGATTTAGTGTAGCCATTGTGCCACTTTTCAGGCGATAGTGCCAATCCTTCATTTCAGATAGCCTAATATTAAATTGTTCAAAAGAAACAATAGGTATCTGACAAATAAATAATTAATAAGGGTAGGAAAAACCCGAATGGAGACTCGTAAGGTTAGTGAAAACCGCGAGATCTTAAATATATTTGACGTAATTTTGATGACTTATAAGACTCATGAATCCGCGGGAACGAGTCAATAAAATCTTTCAAATAAATTTATTTCGTTATTTTCATTTTAGGACCAAAACACGCTCGTTGATTTTATCGATTAAATCTTGCATGAGAATAATTTCCAAATGTTGAATTTAATTTAAATGTTGAATTTAGAAATAATTTTAAAAATATTACATAAGAATGAAATTTTAATCTTGAATATTGCATTAAAAAGAACTTTGAAGTTTGGTGTGAAAATAATTGAACTTGAAAACGCAAATTTCAATAATAATTAAACTTAATCAACTGCCCATACCACAAAATGTTACAGAAATGAAGGGAATAAATTTAAATTAATGTCAATAATAGCAATGTAACTATCCCCATAGAACAGAATTATAAATTGAAAAAAAAATAGGAAAACAGAAAAAGTCCATGTTTGAATTATTGATACTAAATGATTTCATTTTAAATTCAATTCAATTCGTTGGTGCTATATTGAACGAAAAATATTTCCTAAATTTTCTCTACAAATATAATAAATTTTATTTTGAAAATTTGTAAGCGATTGAGTAAATTTGTTTTCTATTATTTGCGTAAATAGCATAACAAGCTCTATCATATTTCTATTTTGAAATTTGAGTAAAGAAATATCACGTAACATTCGGATTCAAACCTTGACAAGGCACGCAATACACATTTGCTTATGATGTCTTAACTTTGTTAATTTATGAATCTTGATGTATTTTACAAAATTTTATTTTACTATTATTTAATTTTTTAAGTATTAATTGGCGACATATTTTATTCAATTAAAATTTCATTAATTTAATATTTTAATTTTGATTTTGAATAATTTTATTGTAATCTATTTATTTCATTTGACATATTAATGTTTTTATAGTTGCATTTTTATTTTTTTTTGATAATAACTAATTATGAATTTCGAGCGTTCAAAGCTTTAATTATTTATTCACCTATAACAAAAGTAATTTTGATGAGTAGTATCAATAATTCAAATGGAAACAAAATATAGAAAAAATATATATAATAATATATTTGTATCAATTATTCTGAAATTGAATGGCCCCTCATTTTTTATTAATATTGACATTCTAAACATGATAATTTCAATTTAATATTTTTATATTGTATATTTAGAATGTTCAAAATAAAAATAGAAATGTATTAATGTAGAAGTATGTGACAACACAAAATTATTAGATTACAAGACGAATCATCATTATCTTCCATTTCTATCTAGATGTAATGCATAAGAATGGCAACAAGTGTGCAATCTATTTTTTTTTTAATCTTCGAAGATTGATACAAGATTCTCCTACAGCTTCAGTTAGAAATAATCGCGCGATTTTTAAACATCCTATTAAAAATATTGAACTGAATCTGACAGAGTATTTTGATCATATTTTAAATTCGAATCAAATAAATAAATTAGCATACAAAATTCAACAATTTATGATAATATTAAATTTGTGAAAAAAAGAGAACTTGCACCTTGTTAATATTCTTATGCAAATAAACCAATTAATGATAGTGATAATGGATCAAATAATTAATTTTATCACAGAAATTTTTAGAAGTTTTATTGATATATATAAATCAATTAGGTCACAACTTCGTTTGTCTACTAATCATTTTAAAGCAGTCACACAAGTTATGCAACTATGCGAATTCATATGGCATTAGGTTGCATACTGTATCCAATAAGAATTTCCGAACAATGTAACTAATTATTGTTTATAATATTTTGCTGTATTATCAAAATCCTACTTTTGAAATTAAACAAGCTGTTGAAACTAAATCAAAATAATTTTAATGAACTATTAAAAATCACAATATGCAGCAAAGTATTACAACAATATTAGATTTTTTTTATGTTAATTTTTTTTATTCATATTATCATCAGAATTGTTATCTAATTACTATATTGCAGACATACTACAAAATTTTATACTTTTACTTTTTCATATTTTGCAAATTTTCAAATTTTTCTCTCTTTTGCTATAATCAATTGTACCATAGATTACTATTTTTCATTTATCGAGGACGATAAATTGCTTTAGAGGGGAGGAATCCCAAATAAATTGTAATTTCTTTGTTTTTTTTTTTTTTCTTTCAATTGTTAGAGGACTAACAATATTCTTTAGGGGTGGCGTGTTCTGTAATAACACGATCATACGTGCTTTTGATCAAAATATGAATTCATTGTTCAATGTTGATCGAAGTCCAAGATCTTTACATGAACGCGGAAGACGCCATTCCTAGAATTGACACGTACAATGTATAATATATAGAGTCAGAATTATTTGTACTAGCCAGTGATGTCTTAGTCAAAAGTCTAGCCATAATGTCTGAGAGTATGTCTTAGCACGAATCTATGCTAGTTTGTGATGTGAAGTTATTAAAGATTAAATAAAGTTATAGTCGAAATTAGATTCAGTGTTTGTATTCTACTTGTGTAAAGACATCTTTCAGCCTATACCAATATAAAGTGCTCACGGTTCTGAGGAGACTCATACCAGTGTTGTTATTTTCTATTATAAACTCTAAGCTCTGCCCACGACACCAGAACAAGGTTGGACTGATCTAGCACCCCTTGGAGAGTGGATCAATCTACATTTGGAACCCAACCCAATCCAATCAACCCTACAACAACAACTCATAACATTTCAATATGTACAAAAATGTAATAAATCTCACATTACGATTAATTAACATGAACTAAATTACTGTTATATCAAATGTGTGAGGCAGAAGTAAATATTTTTTGTTACGCGATATGTAACAAAATTGAAACAACTTGAACAAGATTATAAGAAAAAATTTGTTGTGGAGCATATGTGAAACAAAAAATAAAATGAAAATAGTTTCAGTATTATTTTTTTTAATTTTCTCTATATCGATTTGAACAAAAAAAGTTTTATTTAACAAAACAAATTTATATACTACATCAAAATACCAAGATGAAATATTGTTGACTAGATCATTAAAATTTCGATAATTTAACAATTGTACGTCATAATAATAATTTTAAATCATTAAAAAACATTTATTCATTTTGTGTCATAAAAAAGAAGTCAATTAATCAGAATATAATATAAAAAGTCAGAAGATTTAATTTGGAATAAAAATCACGTATTGAATAAAGTAGTGATTTTTCAGAAATATTTTATTCAAAAACATACATGTTACAATGCTCAGTGTTTTCTTCGAATGTTATTTTTACTGAACGTGAAACAATTTACGAAATGTTTCTCTTCTGTCACATTTGAACAATAAACATAAAAATTGTTTTTGGCAATCAGCTTTTACTTCTTGGGCATCTAATGGGCAAACTACACCCCGACGAGATGTTTGATTTTCAATAAAATATAGTTTACAAAAATGAACAGCTGCATATAGGAATGGCTAGCTTATTTTAGTGTTATGATATGATAACGACTATTAATCACTTCTAAAATATTGATTAATTTGAACATCAAAGCGATTAAAACCTCTCATTTACGATATTCGATTATTTTCCCTTATTACTAAAGGTAGTGCGAATGTGGTTCTTTGGATTCGTGGAGTGTAAAAGATGGGAACAGGGGAGACAAAAACTATGGGGGGAGATAAGGCAAAAAATCACCCTTCCAACCAGTTGTGTTGTGCTAATATTTTTTTATCGAAACGCTAATATTGAAAAATTGGTTCAAAAACCGGTTTTAATGTTTGTTCCATTTTCGTTCGAAAAGCAAAGAAACAAAGATCATTACAAAACCCATTTTGTGCATATATATGTAAGTTTATTACAATAATAGGAAAGTTTAATAAAAATTAGTTGAATTATAAATTATAAAATTCACTTATCAAATCATTTTCTGTATATAGCTTTTTTTTGCCGGCACTGCTTCCAACTAATTTTATAATATTGTTGACTGATATAAGAATATATTGTGCTGTAAATACTTATGTTAAATACAATAAAATAAAATTATAAGTAGTGTAAAACCACCTGAGTGGATATTATGTACTCATAGTAAGAAATTTAAGAGACAAGTATATTGTAAATGACTAATATACTCGCATACAAAGTCAATAAAACAATAAATAAAAAAAATCTTTTTATCACATTGAGAAACAAGTTATAGTTATCTGAAGCCACTCAAAATCCAAATTGTCGAACCATTAAGTATTGCGCGAATATTAGCGATCGTTCTTAATTAATACCCAATAAATATAATATTTGTTTGATGTTTTTGGCACGCGGTACCTTTTGCCGTGCTCTCTCTTCAGTTCGCCGCCGTACTTGGACCTACTGCCTACTAGCTCTATTATCTCCGGTATACTACTGGCGAACATCGCCTGGAACACAATTGGCGAAACGCGCGAGCGTTTTGCAACGATTTAGCATCGGTACACCACAAAATTTTTAATTATCATAATTAATTATTCAAAAATTATAGTATAAGAATTCATAATATATAGCAAATCAAGTTGACATTCAAAAAGATCAACATTTTATCTTGAACAATCGAGAACTTTGCCTATATATATGGAAGCTAGGGTCTATCTGTAACAGAGGTAACTAGTAACAGGCGTTTTTCAATAGGATTGTTAATGGTATTAAAATAATTTTTGGCTCAATTGGAAAAGCAAATCGTCCTGCATAATTTTGTCAAAGCTACTGTCTCGCAAGACGACGCAATAAACAGAACTATTTATTTTAAATTTTATATATCTTATTGTGTTTCAAATTTATCAATGATTGGAGTTAGTTGAAACAAAACCTTGGGGCTACCATACAAAAAATGTATACAGATTCAAGTGAAGAAGAATGAATAAAATAAAAAGTTTGTAAGATGTTAGCACAAGTAAAATGTGTTGCAGAACACATTGCAAATTTTATTAACTTCCCATAGGGTAAGTTATAGTAATCGCAAAAAAATCGAAAATAAAATTTTTTATATATCTTTAAATTTCAAAGGTTTTTGAACATTTTGGCAAACCTTAGAAAAAATGGACATATGTGTGTGTATGTATGTGTGTGGTACAAATTTTCGTCAACGATTTCGGGAACACCGATCAACCGATTTGAATAATTCAAACAACATTCGATTCGTATTGATAAGGAGACGTGCTAATTAGTTTTTGGTAAAGGCAGGTCTTGTCGTTCCGAAAATACGGGTTTTTAAGAGAACGAAGCGTCCGATTTTAATAATTCAAAAAACATTTTACTTGTATTGACAAGATCAACAACATTCAAGATCAAATATTTGGGAAGGCGGGTCCAGCGGTTATGGACTCTCAATAAAAATAAGTTAAAAAAATGTCATTTGGCGGTCAAAAATATTTATTGGACATATGTACATCAAATTATCAGATATTTTATAGAGATTTTAAAAACGCGTACACATTTTGTGTAAATTTTTGTGTCATTACGGTACGGGAAGTTCCAGCAACTTGCCTTAAGGCACGTAGTCATGCATCCCACTAGTTTGTATTATAAAATTATTTGTGGTTCACGTTAATTTATATTTAAAAATTTTAAATACAAAAATTTATATTACAGGTGGAGCGAATTAGCTCCAATATAAACTAGATGTTCTCTGATATTTTATATAAAACAAGAAAGTGTAACTAAAATCTTGATGTATAATAAAAATATTAGTGATGTGTTGAATTTTGGTTTTTAATTAAACCTTCTTAATTAGCAAAACCAATGTAAACTTGATAATGATAAATATTTATGGAAAATGCTCTCCAACAGAAGACATTACATTTTTATTTTCACAACAAGTCAATTTTCTCAAAGTAGAGAATGAATTATCAGAAGCACTATAGTCGCTTTTTTGCCGTTACTACTTGTTCCGGTAGATTTTACAATTAGCCCCAAAGCATTAGGTAAGTTGTTGTAATACCACAATTTTCTAAAAATTGATTAATTGCACAAAGTTTGTGGATAATTTTTTACTTGATTTAGTACAGGAATAGTTGCAGCAACTATGCATCTTTATTTCGAAAAAAAATAATCATTGGATTTCAGGATAAATAAAATGTTAATTAAAAAAAAAGTCTGTTACAAGCCACAGCTTCCCTATATAAAAATGCGTTCACAATTATTTGTGTTTTATTGAGTGGTTAATTTAGTGTTGTTGAAACAAAGGACTATTTATGTTGACCATTAAATATACTTCTATCTCGATTCATTTGCAAGCATCGTATATTACAAAAACATTCTCTGGTTATGATTGCAGCTGTTTATGCAACCGATATCTGAATATTTATATGAGCATACATATCGCAAATCATTCATTCCCAAATTTTCAATATTTGATAATTATAAAATTATGTGGTCTTTTATGCTAAATCGATATATTTTATCGCTATTTGAACCTTAAAACCAATTTACTAATCTACACAAACTGCCTGTTGTATATTATATGCAGGCAGCATGCACAAATATTTTTATTAGTTTATGGCTAAAAATAATAAACTGATTAAATTTACGGTCACATTTATTAGGGATGTTTAATCTATGGGTAGTGATTAGGTACACACAATAAAGTCATGCTTTTTTATATATTTTTTGTTTTAAATTATATATGAGTTTTATAAGATGTATAGCATTGAAAAAAGACAAAATTCATATCTAAAATAATAGGTTCATACATATAGGTGAAAATATACCATATGTTCACGCATTTATCTCCTCCTAATTCGGATTAAATAAATACATGAATTTGTACTAACATTTATTTAACGTAAAAGGTGCAGAAAGGGTGCAATTAAAAAAAGCATATATAGCTCTAGCAAAATTAGACATAATGTCTAATCAAAAATTGTATAATCGTAATAGTATACGATGTTTCTGTATAAAATATGAGACTAATTTGTCCAGCAGTAGATAATATATTTGATATTAGGACAAACTAATCTGTCAACACATAACTAACAAATTATTTATACACAACATTAAACATATTTGGATTTCTTTCATTTTTAAAGGATAGGATTAATACGATAAGTAATCAGTTACTCTCTTAAGTATATCTGTAAAAATATTTATATATATTTATATAAAAATCATAATTAATTATTTTAGTATATTTTTCAAAATCATTTCTTAATTTCTTCATAAAAAAAATATGTTCAGAATGCAAAAGCTACAAAATATAAATATTTTTACAGAATTTTCAGAAGCATACATCAATATCATCATTTTTTCATTAAAATACTGCCCGCGAAAATAAATATACAATGCTTTTGCAAAGCAAAATAGATTTTGTTATAAATTATCTTTTAATAAAACGCATTTTAATTTTATTAGTACCAGACAAAAGCGTTTGATTAATGTGATGGTTGATTATAGATAAACATCATAAATTATATGAGGGGTTGAGTGCTTTCTAAAGGTTTTGCTAGGTGGTGGATAAAATTAATTTAACTTTGATGGAACAGTTTTTATCGTTTAATGATTCTAAAGTAACTGTTAACATGTAAAATGTGTGGCATTATATTGGGTGTAAAATATCTTGGAAAATATTATTGGCATTGAAGCATGACCGTTAATATAATATTTGCATTGCTATTGAAGTTAAAATTAATGTTATATACGCAGGGAAAACAACATATTTCGTATTAAAAAAATTATAATTAAATTTATTATTTTGCAATATATCACTGAGAAATATTTTAATCAAATCTAATTCTCTCAATAGTCACATCTTTTTTCGCGATGACAATGAGCTGATAAATAAGCATATTTTGCTGATATTCCAACTTAGGTACCAGATTTTTTTAGAAGTAATATATATCAAGTTTTTTATCACAAATTGTCCCGAACTTTTGAAACTTTAATTTTTAATATTCATTTTTATAAAAACCTTAAAAGGAGTGCGTACCTAGAATTTTATATAAATTTTAAATTTATAACTTTTAGTATTAATCTATTAAATTTTTCATTACATTTTCAATCAGTAATTCATATGAATTATTTTTCAACAAAAATACTTTGGCTACACATGTGATCAATGCAGGTGTTTTGAAATATCCGGTACTAGGTGCCACTGTTTAAAATCATATTTTTTGATACCAAAGTTTGATTGATAGTATTAATCATTTTTAAGCAAAGATTGCGGCTTTTGTTAATCTAGTTTGATTTCTAACTCTGTTATCTAACATAAATCATAATTTAATAAACATTTCGTAAAATATTTTTTGATTTATTTATAATTAACCTTAGGTGTCCGCCACTATGGGACTTCACCATACGTATTGCATGAGGTCTATTTTTCAAAACTTCAATAAATTTTTATAGTTAAACCATTTCTCATAAGTCCTTAATACTTCAAGAGGTTCGATTTGACTATCAACTTTAAGTAACCCTAAGGTTCGCCTTGTAAGTAAATTTTTAATTGCATATTTCTAAATCATGAGCATTTCAAAAGTATTGATTAATAAAAAAGAACCGTATGCGTTAATAAATTTCAAAACTGAAATATCTCTCTTATAAATTTCACTAAATTTCATTGGTTATTTTTGTAGTTTTGTCGAATACGAGTTAATCGTTCCAAATAAATAAAAGGTTTAGGTTAAAACAATGACAATTTTTATGTATTTGTTACCCAATATAACGTCACACATAAAAGTCTACACCTTTTTCTATTTCTGTACTATAAGAAATGATATTCAGGTCTATTTATATAGTAGTCTATGCATACATTGACCAATAATTCATTATGTCTCAAAAGGGTGTGGAAGAGACACGCAAACAGTATTTTCCATGAACCGAAAGGCACACGAATTTGCGAGACGATTTATTCTGGCCCACGATAAAATCATTTCGTAATTGAATTTTCGAATTCTATTACGTTAATGATATATGGGCAAATTAATGGAAATGTTCTTTATCTCGGCCATATTTCGAATTCTTTTTAGAAAATTATTTTTATTCATTTTGAATTAATGATTTAAATAAAGATTATAAGCCACTTTACGTTAATTTTGCAAATGAAAACTTTTGCAATTCTTCATATAAATTTTTACTAAACAAAACTATACTAAACTACTACTACTAAATAATCAAATATAATCTATTATTCTAATCTGTAATTAAAAATGTTTAGAATCACTACATTACTCTATAAAACATCAATAATAAAATAAACATCATACTACTATTTTTTAGCTTCAGAAACTATACGAAATTTTCGATTAGAAGTTAATATTTTATTATTTAATCTAATAGAATTTTTAATTTTAGGTACTACATAAATAAATATTCAATTTTACCATATATTTCATCTAGGAAATATTATTGCAAAAATTTTCATAGCGGAGTGCGCAATCAGCAGGGTCTGTCGAAGCTTTTCAAGGAAAAATATAGCTTAAAGATGATTTGGGTATTTGTAGCAGGATTATGTAAGAGGCAGGAAAAGATAATATTTTTCCTTAACTTTTTAATATCAGCCCTACATGTGGAAATATATGAAAAAATCATATGACTGAAAATTATGGTATAGTAGATACTAAATGAATGATTTTTATGAAGTAGTAAAATGTCTGTCGAGAATATAGTGACCAATTTTCAAAAATTGTTGATTTTTTATAATTTTGTCTCGACGTATATATATGTACATATATATATATATATATATATATATATATATATATATATATATATATATATATATTTGATATGAAAACATTTCCTTCAGTGGGTATGATATAAATGACTCTACTATACATTGAAGAGAAATTTCACTTATAGGTTCTCAAAATTCGTTTTAGCTTTTATATCATCAATTCAAGGAAATATTTTCATTCATGCAAGCAATTCATAAACTTTGTAATCATAAATATCATCACAAAAGATTTCAATTAAGCTATTTTTTAATGTTGTGAAAATATTACGAAGTAGAAATAACAATTTTAAAATCTTCTGTGATCATATAATATCCATAAGGTATTATATCTGCATTTAAAACGGATTATTTCTGCAGGATTCAATTAGAATTTTATCAACGGATTCTGTTCACACTATACGAGTGTATATTTAACTATCAATCCTTAAATACGAGTATGGATAAATAAAATATTTAAATCCCATCGAACTGAGATGGGATATTTTTGAGATTATATTAAATTGCGAGAACGTCGGGTATTGGAGCGACCAATATTGTAAGAATTTGCATATGATTAAAATCATCAATTAAAAAAGATATGCTAATAATTTATATGACGGCGAAATATTTCAAATAAATTATATATTACTTCTCATTTATATATGAATATTGATAAATTGTTAAAAAAAAATTATAAGTACTGTTAATATAAAAGTCAAGAGCTGCAAAAGTACAATTTCTTCAACGAGAGACTAAAAACTCAATTTTTAAATTTAAATGATAAAAAATTATCGTACTGTTTTTTAATACTAAATAAAAAAATTAGTGATTAAAATTGGAATTAAATTAAATTAAATCACTATTGTTCGCTGTTCATATTTCTATTCATATCCATTATATTTTTCGTAGATGTGAATGCTTGATTGAAATTGTTTAATTATTTTAAGTTTTGAATAAATTTGCCTAGAACTCACCAATCCGACAAGTAAGAAAAAGACCAGGAACGTTCGGCCTAGTACAGTCTGACAGTAGACGTCACCATACCCTACCGTCGACATGGTGACGATCAAGAAGTAGACGCATGTCCAATAAGATAATTGCTGGGGATTACTAAACTCGAACGGATCGCCGGAATTTTCCAACTATAAATATAATTAAGCAATACATTTATATATATATATATATATATATATATACATGATAGTTTTGTCGACGTTGATACATATTTGTAATATTTTTGCAGCCCAATCGTCGAATTAAAAAAATTAAATAACAAAATTATTTATTCCATTAAACGTTTCGACACTTGATGTGTGTCATCATTCAGTAATCTAAAAAACATGTAACATAAATACAAAGTTGATGGTAAATATAAATATCAATTCAAAACGATGCTTTCAGAACATATGATAGACCTGAACCACATTTTTAACATGTCAAATCCTTCTATCCTTTACATTGAAAAAAATTGTGACCTTAGAAAGATAGTTGAGTCTTTATTTATATCCCTTAATACTTCTTGTGTAAACAAACGCAATTCCTCTCATCTCTTACATGACAGTTACAAAGTCATCATTAATTTCATGAAAAGTAATTCAATACAGTTTTAGAATCTTTCGTTCGTTATATTTCTTTTCTGTTTTTCTTTCCCCTTTCGTTTCTCACAACTCGCTCCCACTCCTTCATTACACGTGCGTGACTACACTGCGTTGTAACCTTGATCAGTGTCCACAATGCACCGCTATCAATAACATTAAATATAGGAGGGCAATATGTGCCCCTTCTATTTCTCGTTTGTTAATATAATAATATTTTATTATTTTACACAAATTTAGTGTTCAATCAATTTTCCATAATAATTATTTTTTTCTGTTGTTTTTACTGGTTTGGTATGTATAATTTCCTCCTTTTTATATATTTATATTTATCATCAACTTTGTATTTATGTTATATGTTTTTTAGAATACTGAATGATGACACACATCAAGTGTCGAAACGTTTAATGAAATAAATGATTTATATATATATATATATATATATATATATATATATATATATAATCACCAACAGAAGTTCCTACTAGTAAATGGTAAAATGCATAACAAATTCATACTTAGAAGAGATAAAATTAATAATGCGATCATTATTCAAGATTTTATAGACATGAAATTGCTTCAAAACTGCATCTCATTGCATTATTAAATGAAATATCATTTTGAAATATTTCTTATGATTATTTATCATACCAGATGTATGATTCCTGCCGCTGTCAACCAAACGGATATGAAAATGGAGACTAGTTGAGCAAGTCGTATGCTACTGGACGTTTTCAATATATTCAGGTATTGCAGGATGTCGGGAACTGTCATCAGGCGGAGAGCTCTGCAGAAACGGAGACCTGCAATAAATAATCAAATAATGAAATATACGAATAAGAGTTGGGTATGAGAAGTGCTAATATATGTACTTTTATATTTAAAATATTCAGGAATAAATATAAATAACGTTCAGGTGTAAACACCTGGTAACGAAGCAAAGTTGTAAACTTCCACGCATATGTAAATACTGAACATATTCAATAAGAAATATTAATTTATGAATGATTTATAATTATACCGAATTGCTGTAGGGTATTATAATATAAGAAACTAAAAACGTCCTGGTGTGAACACCTGGTAATGAAGCTCTGCCTGAAGATAATATATGTACACATTTTTGCAAGATTATTTTCTGAAACAAAAACTACCTTGTTTCAACAAATTTTTGAAAATAAAATATTTAAAAATTTTACAAAAAGATTTATGTCTAGAAAAATAAAATTATAATTAATATTAGCCATCTCGAAATACGTAAACTAGAGTATATAAAGGTATGCATGTCTTAGGAAATAGCAGTAGCCAAATCGCCAACAATGAAGAAATAATGTACTTTGAATAAAATTTATGCTATATTATTCTATTGGAAGCTAGTAGTTGTAAAACAAAAACACACAAACAAACAAATGAAAGAAAACTTATTTTGCTATTCACTGTCATATACTCTTTGATTTTATTTTTTCCAATTAGGAAAATTAATTATTTTGATACATTTTATATGCGGTAGAACGGGCCTTAAAGGTCTCGGGAGGAAAAGGTCTACCACCAATAAAAAACCACCAAAGTTAAGAATTTTTTATCAACAATATTTGAATGTAGAGGGAAATAGATGTATAACAAACCATCATCTTGATTCTCAATGCGTCGCTATCGGGAGATAAACGGCAATTTTTGAAAATCCATAGTAAAAGTATTTTGTTTCGTTGTTAGTTTTTTGGTTGTGAGCACTGTGATTTAGTTCAGAAATCCTTACTATATTTTTTATTAATATTTTATATAATTGTTTAATAATATGTAGTGATAATTTTAAGTAAGATTTAACCGCTTTTTATACAATCACTATAAAGGCTTACACATGCGTGGAGTAAAAATAACCAACTAAACCTTTCTTTCTGGCAAAAGTGTAAAAATAAAAAATAGCAAATAAAAAAGTAAATTAAGTTGAATAAAACAAATTTGCAAAGATGCATTAAATAAATAGTTATTCAAACTCTACTTATAAATATTTCAGACAAAATACCATATCAAGCTAATTAACAGTGTTATCTCTGTAAAAAATACACCCATGACATTTATATTTTGCATTGAATAATATAGCTATTACTTTGTGTAATTCCTTAAAAATTAAAATAAAACGTTGGACATGTTTGCCTCCTGATGACCACGTATCGAATTTTTGAAAAACATAAAAAACACATTTCTACAATCATGCCTTAGCTAAGAGTTTTACTTAACATAGTCAGATAGTTGTCTGTTATGTGTTATTTGTTATGATATAACTAGTTTGGTTTTCAAAATATAATTACTCAAAACCAATTTGGACCTTTGTGCGCCGCCCTACTTTAATCTAAAACTAAAATGGCAATAGAAAGAGAATATTTTGTTTAATTTGACAAAGATTATGAAAAAAAAAAGATTTTTCGAAAATCTTTTCTAAATTCTAGGTTTTAAGTTATACATATTTTGCATAATATCAGAGCAAAGTATTGTAATGTTAATATTTTGTACTTACAACTAACTGATATAAAGTTTAAAGTAATTTGTAAAATTTAGTATTTGACGAGGGTAATAAATTTGCATATTATCGTATTATATACTATATGGTAGTAGGCAATTGTATTATTTGAATATGGTAGTCAATATACTCGTATTATATATTACGAAATATATTGTTATTGTTGCATGTGTTCATACAAAAAATTTTCATCAAATTGTGCTATTTATTTTAACGATAAGAAATAATTAAACAAAAATTCTTATTACTGTATTATATTCAGAATTAGTTGCTCTTTTATCTCTAAAGGATGTCTCAAAAGATTTGTACATTAATAAAAGATTGCGTTTTAACATTTATTAGCTAATAGTCTGTATTCAAACAAATATGAATGAATGTGGTTGAATTCAAATCGATTTAGTAGCGTCAAATTGACATTTTACTACACAAATATAAATCATCTTAACCCTAAACTATACTTATACCAAATATATAATTATTCTTTTCTAGCATTTTCATTAAATTTTTTATCCTCAGATCATAAAAACACGAATAGTAAGCTAATAATGAACGTATCAATTGAATAATATTGTCAGATTATTTAAATTCTATTCAGTATCAGAATCTGAATAGAATTGAATAATGAATGAATGATAATTCATAAAAAAAAAAACAATTGATGGAAAGTTCAGCGATCCTTTCCACCGCCTGTGATTTATCATCCAGCTGATGCAAAACAAATAAAAAGGCGTGAGAGTGAAATCAAATTGTAATAAATCAGTAAATCAGTTTACAGCCGGTGCTTTTTGACATTTCCCTGCCCCGCATGGCACCAGTTTGGTACAGTTTATTTGCATTATCTAATTTATATATAATATATATTTAATTACAGCACAGGGTTCTCATACAATGATATATAAATTATTTATTAATATAAGGTTCAAAATAACGATGTGTAGATTAAGTCATGGATGTTTTTATCTTGATATCTCTATAAAATAAAATCGTAAATAGACATGCATCACAATATTGGGTTGGTGCTTTTGGCTTTTTAGGAGAGAGCCTGCTAGAGGCTTCAAAATTTTGAGAGAAGAAAGTAAATATTTAATTGAAACAAAACTTTCAGGTTATACTGTTCTAAATTTTAACATTTTTCTCAATTTTTTTTATTAAAATATATGTTATAATATATATACGAAGTCTAGATTCACAATAGTATAGATTCTAGTTGAACCTAAAAAATCTAGAAAAAAGTGAGAAATTCACCCAATTTTCGCAAATTAAAAAAATCATGTTTATCGATAAAAAATTTCACTTTAGATTGTTTAAAGAGTGAGTTAATTATAACTTTTTTTTAAAGTTTTTTTAGGTTCGACTGAGAGAGATTATAATCCTGAATACAATCAATTTTGTCTCATATCCAAAGGACGTTCAAGTTTTTACCTATCTTTCCCGCCAATTAGGAAGAATCGAAAAAATTAAAAACCGGGAAATTGCGCGTCAAAGTTTTCGTTCCGCTCGTATACATGCTTGACGTTTGCTAACTATTTTTTTGTAACTCCGAAAATAATTTGAATTTGTTTCTGAAATTTCAAAGATATATTCTTGGCTAGTTTTGGAAGACATGTTTGCAAAAAAGAGGATCGACTTTTTTTTAAGCCTCTAAAGCAAGCTCTCCCCTTAAGCATTGAAAAAACTTTGCTTTTAGTATAATTTATGTTAGTGCTATACTTTGCCGATTGTTATAAAATACTGGTCATATTCGTGTAAATTCCCATGAATAGTGTTGGTAGTGGGTTATATTTAAACGGAGTTCATGAACAAATATTTCTACATTTAGTTATTCAAGTTATTTGTTTTTGCAAAGGAAAGAAAGAAGCTGCGGATCACAAACATATATGTAAAGTTATGATGATGACTGTTTAATAAACGTACATGTTTGATAAAGTTGGTATAAAAATCCCTGTTCTGGGAATTTTTGCCTCAAAAATAAGCATTGTTCTGTTCAGCATACTGACGTTGATGATGACCAAATCAAAGTCGTAATTGAACAGGACATAAATAGTAGAGATATGGCGAAAATGCCACATGTATCGCTCACAACAATTGAATAAAATTCAAAGTATTTTGGGTTATTGAAAAAAGTTAATAGTTGGGTATCCAACAAATTTAAATTTTATTTAGAACAATAAATTAACTGTTGCGATTCCATTTAGAATAATAAATCAACTTACGGTTACACGAAACATATACAACTTTTTTTTGAAAAAAATAGTCATAACCTAGTTATGAAACATGGGTCCTGAACAGGAGCATAGTTCGGAAACGATCATTATACAAATCCTTTGAACTAGCACATGTCATGATAGTAATTTGTGGGAATAGATGTTGTGTTATTAAAATTATGCAACAATAATTAATATTAATTAATTAATGGAACTAGGTTAAGTACTGAGAGAAATACTATAAATGAAGAAGAGCACATCGGGATTCTGCAAAGTACTGGCTCTTAGTAGGGAAGTTATGCCACATCTCCAAACTGCTCTGATCTAGTACTATCCAATTACCATTTATTTCGAAACTCACAAAATTCTTTGAAAGGCAAAACTGTCACGAGTACTGGTCACTTCAACCCGCACTTGGATTAGTTTTTTGCTGTTCTGGACCAGAAATTTAATGGGCCCAGAAGCAGCAAAAACCCATCAAGCAGCTCAAAGAAAGGTGGCAAAAAGATATTGAGCAAAATAAAAAATATACAATTAATAAAATATAATTATTAATAAAAGTTATTCTACAATAAAAGAAATAAAATTACTTTGTTACAAATCGAGCAAGGTTCGAACTTGCGTCCACAACGAGACCGTTACACCATGGAACACCCTGTATTTATATATACAAATATGTATATACGTATGTGATATAAGATGTATTCGTATATTACATACATGCACAATAACATTAATCTTGTCTTAAACTTTTTAAAGAGCTCGTTATTTCTTTGCAATAAATTACTAACGTCTCGCTGCTCGGAAAATTTCAATTTTATATCGGATCTGCATATTTATTATAGCACTTTAGCGTTCCTCGACTCTGAACAGAGCCAGTTCGAACAAAATCAATACTCTATATCGGAATCATTACAGCGTAAGCTAACGCAGACAAATGGCATTTGCAAAAGTTGAAAACGAGAAAAAATATAAAAGGAAAAACCAAAAGGGAAAAATTGATTCTCAGAAACGTACAATGAAAGCCGAGCCAGAAACGATTGATAATTCATAACAATTACGATATTATTATCAATGGTGTGCTTGGGATATTGTATTGAGTGCAAATGTGAACGATATTCCATTATTTCACACTAGATTGATATTCTATAAGATCAAGAATGATAGTAAAATAAAAAAATAAATTTTAAATATAATAAACTTCTCAATTTATGTTATCAATTAACAAAAGCAACTAAAATGATCTAATAATATAGCAAAAGCATAACCGAAAACAATTTTCAAAAAAAAAGTAGTAATGTAGTTTTTAACACTAATTTTTTTCCAGAATAGTGCTCACAATTTTTCTAACATTATCATATTAAATAGATAAAAATTTTATTGACATTTTAAACATTCTATAAATTTTGATAAATATTATGCAATGAGGCCTCTTGTTTACTTTCGCAGATTAAAAAGTGGCTTGAATTGAAATACAAGTTACATATGATTTATTTGCTGGCCACATTTTGTACAAATAACACTGTATATAATCTTAGCCTGGTATTTCGTCTGAAATATTCATTAACAGAGTTGGAATAACTATTGAACTGTATTATCTTTTCTAAAATTGTTTTTTATACTTAATCTACTTTTTCATTTACTATTCATTATAACTCACACCTTTGCCAGGGTAAAGTTTCAGAACTAGCTTTTTACACCATCAACATATAAGCTTTTATCGAGGTAATATAAAAAAATATTGATTCTAACTCAAAATTGACAATACTTCTAAATAATTAAATTCTATAAAATAATTAAATTACGTGTACTTAAAAATTATTTTAAGGTCTAGTAAACTAAACAACAATACTCACAGTCTTTTTTATACCACCAACTTCTAAGCTTTTATCGAGGTTATATACTAAATATTGATTCTAACTTAAAATTGACAAAACTTCTAAATAATTAAATTCTATAAAATAATTAAACAACGTATACTTAAAAATTATTTTAAGATCCAGTAAACTAAAAAACAGTGCTCACAGACCTTTCTATACCATCAACGTGTAAGCTTGTATCAAAGTTATAAAAAAATGATATTGATTCTAACTCAAAATTGATAATACTTCTCATAAAACAATCAAATGACGTGTACTTAAAAATTAGTAAGTTTAGTAAACTAAACAACAGTGCTCGCAGTCCCTTTTATACCACCAACCTGTGAGTTTTTATTATATAAAAATATTGATTCTAACTCAAAATTGACAATACTTCTTATAAAAGAACTAAATAATGTGTACTTAACAATTATTTTAAGGTCTAGTAAACTAAACAACAGTGCTCACAGCCAAAAAAAAACTAACAAGAAAAAAAAAATTGTTATGGATTTTCAAACATTGCCGTTTATTTAGCAACGTCGTAACGAATCAAGGTGATGAAGGCTGATTATAGATCTTACTCCCTGTACTTTCAAATATTATTGTTAAGCAATTCTCAACATTACTATTATTTTTTTCATTAATATTACAATTATGCAAGGCATACAAAAAATGTATAATATAGTAAATATACTATTGTTTTCATTAAAAAAATATTTTTATAAAAATTAAAAGAAATTGTTGTTCTAACGATTATATAAATAATCACATAAACAATCCTTATATATACCAAAGTCTCGTTTTTTATATTAACATTGATGAGTATGTTTAATTTATACAAAATAAAATAAAATCGCTAATAATAAAGCATGGAATCAAATCAGTTTGATATGATTACAATATGTAAGCTTCTATAAATAATAGTTTAAGTCGACATCTAAATCAATGTTAAATTTCCAGAATCTAGCAATAACTTACCAATCCATGTGCGATCCAGATAAATGGAGACGAATGAGGGCGGTATCGTAAAATAATCGACGAACGAATACATCTCCAGCATGAACCACAATTTGTCGCTAGCTGCTATAAACTGTGGAAAAGTCGTAAAACACACATTAAACTCAATCATAGGCATTAAAATGTAACTACAACTATTTACCACTAGTAGCTGTAGCTGCTAATATCACTTGGGAATTATCATAATTTTATTAAGCCAAGTTATAACTACTTAATCATATTTTATGTACTCGACACGATTTGTAAAATGACTAGAAATTTTATATATTTATACATTCATGTTTTGAATTAAAATATGTACTTCTGCACAAATTATTAATTAAAAGTTACTGCAAGTTTGATTATGAATGCATTTTAATAATTGTTTTTCAGATACATGTAATAAGCCACGTGATGAATAAATTATCTTAAAAATATTTAGATAATTCAATTGATTCTTTTATTATACGTTGAAAATTTTACTCAAATGATTATTAACTTCCCGTGGGGTAAATTATAGTAATCGCAAATAAATCGAAAATGAAAATGTTCTACATTCTCATTCTAACATACCTTAGAAAAAATGTATGTATGTGTATGTGTGTGTGCGTGTGTGTGCGTGTGTGTGCGGATACAAATTTTCGTCGACGATTTCGGGAACACGGTTCAACTGATTTCAATTATTCAAAAAACATTCAATTGCTGTTCATAAGGAGGGGTGAGGAGTTTTTGGCATAGGCAGGTCTAGCCGTTTCAAAGATACGGGGCAAAAAGTGCCATAAACGGTAACCCAGTTTTTAAGAGAACGGAGTGTCCGATTTTAAAAATTCAAAAACCATTTTACTTGTATTAATAAGATGAACAACTGATTTTCATAAAGGCAGAACTAATCTAGTAAAAAAAATACAAAAAAATGCCATTTGGCGGTCAAAAATGATCATTAGACATATGCACATAAAATTATCAGACTTTTTATAGAGATTTTAACAATAAGTATAAATTTTGTTTACATTCCTATGGATTCCGTATCAATGTTTACCCGTTAGACAGCAACGCGGCGCATACGCGCTTCGATATTTCGTCTCTATGCAGTTAAAGCAGTACGATTGCTTTGAAGAAAAGTTCAGAAATTCCAAAATATTTTTTATCAAAAATTTATAGTTTCTCAAGAATCTAATTTTTTCAAAGCAATTTTTCTTCAAAAATGTTTATCTTGTTAATCAAATCAAATATGATGTGTAATCATTTGTAAACTGAACAAAATTAATATTCAAATATAATATTCTAGACAATTTTTCAGCAATAATTTTGATAATTTACTAGTTAGCTGCAGGAGAAGTCAAATAAATGGTGATTTGAACATTTGTCTATATGGAAATGCTGAAAGACTGTCCTTAAAAACGATATATTAGTCAAAAAATCAAATAATACAAGAAAAGGGCGAGTATCACAACCGTCCCTGGGGGTGTGGACGGTATAAAAATTGGTTAAAATTAATAGCTATAAACACCAAAATAGATTATACTTTAATGGATTGGATTTTAATGATCAGAAATTTGTAACAACATAACATAGAATGAAGTTTATGAATATAATATAACAATATATATAAAAAAAACATTTTTTTTTAAACAAGTTAGCAAGAAGTTGAGAAATCTTTTTTGTCGTATTGAATATTCCTTTCCCTTCCTCTTTCGTATTTTATCTTATGTTAGTTAATTTAAATTCTTTTATCTGTTTAAAATTCACTAGAAAACGACAACCGTACCCACAAAATCTGTCACAACCGTACCCAACAGACACTTTTGCAAACATCATTAAGACTGAGCTAAATTATCTAAGCAAAAGATGGTAATTAACTTCTAATGTTCAACCTACAGTAAAATAACAAATAAAGTGATCTAGTCGTAACAAGTAACAGTTATTATTAAAAGAAATTGAACTAAAAAAATTTTTTTTTGACACTTTGTGGTATACAGATCATTTTAATGTAGCGCGTTGCAATAACGGAAACTTGTCCGAACAAACATACATTGCATTTTGCTCCCTTTAAACCCTATCTCAAAATCACTGTCGTTTAGCCGTTATGACGACTGGTCACTATTGTACCCTGGCACAACCGTACCCAGTCTGTCCTACCATTCTTTACTACTTCAATTAAATATTAGTTTAGTAAATTCAATTGATAAATAACATTGGTAAAATTCACAGTTTCCTCTATACATACTAGATTTCTTGAAGATATATAGATCATAGAAAACTCTAACTTTTATTTGAATTTCACAAGTATGACATAGTGACTGCAGCAGTAACTTTTATCAAAAATATTGCATTCATAACTCTCGTAAACTAGTAACTTGCAGAACCGTTTCGGCAAATAAAAGCACCGAGTGCCTATATAATACAGATCTCTTTGTACAAAATGCACACTCATACCCTGGTAAAAAGTATAATATGGAATTTGTCCATACGAGATACCGAAGCGGAATTGCTCTCAGTACAATATCGTACGAGGGATTGTAATAAAAAATCTCCGCTTTGTAAGCAAAATCACAAATCTGTTTTAACACGACCGGTCTTATCTACAGTAGCAAGAGGAAAAAATGCTAAAAGAGAATATATCGAAGTTATACATCATTCTATAAATAGATTTCCTTCCATAAAAAGTATCGAACGATTTTTATGCGCCAGAAAAAAGTGCGTAATTTAATATATGATCTTTTTTGCTTATGGATATTATATGCAAAGTGTATATAGAAGGATGTATCAAATATGTAAAATTGTAGCATGCTGTGACTTTGAAATGCAAAATGCTGAAAAATGTGTTAGAACAATATATTCTGAAAAAATATATTATGATAAATTAATTGCCGAAAGCGTAATCTGATATAGCTTTTTTAAATCTCTACCAAAGTTTGCTATAATACGCCTAACATTAGAATGATAATTGACCCAGTAGACCCATTTTTTACTCTATTTATAATATATCGTAGAGCAGAGTAGACCCAAAGGTCCTTTTGACTTTCAGTAGTTATATCGTTCGAACTAAATGAACTATTTTGACAGACAGACAAACAGAAAGAAAAATTTATTTCAATATATTGTTATACAAGTAATGTATATACTATGTTTTATATGTGAGTGTTTCTACCCTCGGGTATTCCACTCAAAAATTTCTAATTTTACATTTCGTTCAGTGGCTATTTATATTCATAAAACATTTCAAACATATGACAAGGACTACCTAAATGAACTACGATATAACACATAACATGTATCAAACAAACAACTATCGAACTATGTTCAGTTAACTGTGATTCTAATTCCCAGTTAACTCTTTACTATAGAAATATGTTTTTCACTATTAAAATTTGTCATCTGTCCCTTTTTGCCCCATGGCGGTGTAGGAAGAGAAAGTTAGAAGACAGACAGATCTAACGTGTTTTTATAAATGGAGTTTGCGAACAAATTTTATAGAAACAATTTTCACAAATATTTTATTGTATATAACCTTGATCTGGTATTCCGAAAGAACTATTCATCAGCAAAGTTCGAATAACAATTAATTTAAAATATCTCTTGTGAAATTGTTATTTTTTTCTAATTAAATTTACTTTTTTATTAACTATTTATTATTGTTTACACCTTTTCCAATGTAAGGGTTTAGTTGGTTCTTTTTATCTCTGCCACATGTAAGCTTTTATGGAGGTTATATCATATAAGTTGTTGAATCTAACTTTAAAATTACAATACATCTTAGAAAACATTTAAATTAGATATTACTAAAATTTATATTCAGGTATCATAAACTTAATAAGAACTCAAAAATAAAAAAATACCATAAAAAAACTTTTTGTATTGATCCGTTTGTCTCCTAATAGCAACGTCTTAATAATTAAGGTGATTCCACATTTTTGCCTTTTACATTAAAACGGTACAACTATAAAATTTTGTACTTCTCTTGTTTTTGAGATATTGATGGTGGATCTTTTTACCCGCGGATCTTTAAGCCTGCTCCGCCCTATATATTCACCAAAATAATTACTCATATAATATTTAAATGTTTCCTTTGAATTTTAATTTGCAATTACCTACATACTGAATGGTATAAAGTTTTTTCGTTTTTTTCATATTCATATAAAACTAGTATACAATTTTTTTTCATACAGTATTAGACTGATTTAAAATTCAAATAATTAATAAACATTCGACGGCCATTGAAAATACTACTAATCAAATTCAAGTATTCATAACATTTTATCACATATGTAATAAATAAACTGGTGCGTTCAAAGTGAATATCACTATTCCTTGCTTCATTGGATTATAGAAGCCACAATTAAGATCTATTTATTTAATTTCTCAATTTCAGATGCAGTTAGCAATATCTGATTTAATATTAATTATATTTAATAGTTTAGGAACATAGTTTTCTAATAATATTACATTGATTAAATAATCAATTATTAATTAAATAATTATTAATAATAAATCATTTTTTCTCACCATAAAGGTAAAAATAAGCTTGTTAAGTACTAACATTGATTGAAATTATTGGGAACTTTGTCAGTTGTATATGACGTCTAAGGAAACAATAATACTTGGAGATTACTTTAACGAATAACGAGCAATCAATATGTTCACAAAAACATAAAAACAAAAATAACGTAGAAAGAAATTGTGATCGAGATATTCGTACCATGGCATAAAATCTAGGTCATACATATCGAATATTTGGAATCGAATTACAATGCAATTAGTAAATTTATTTTACTTCCTGAATACCATTTAGATTATTAGGATATGATCAAGACAAATAATACGGTTTGATGTAAATATATAGAAAAATAATGATAAATGAGTAATTCAATATTTGTACTTATATATATATACATATATATATATATATATATATATATATATATATATATATTATGTAGGGTAGAGCAGAGCTTAAATGTTCGCGGATAACTAGATTCATCAATATCTCAAAAACCAGTAAAGTTAAGAATTTTTTTTATCAACAATATTTGAAAGTAGAGGGAAAATGATATATAACCAGTCATCACCTTTATTCTTACGACGTCGCTATCAGGAGATAAACGGTAGTGTTTGAAAATCCTTAACAAAAGTGTTTTCCTTCACTGTTAGTTTTTTTAGTTGTAAGCACTGTTATTTATTATATGATGCATCAACCTAATTTTTAAGTATTCGTTATTTAATTGTTTTATGAGATGTATTGTTAATTCAAAATTGGATTCAACAATTTTTATATAAAACTTCTATAAAAGCTTACTGTTGGTGGGATAAAAACAACCAACTGAATCTTTACCCTGGCAAAAGTGTAAATAATAAAAAATAGTAAAGAAAATTAAGTTAACAAAGCAATTTTGCAAGAGGTAAACAATTAATATAATTATATTTTAATTCATATGCTAATGAATATTTGTTTTGCAAAGTACTAGATCGAGGTTATATACAGTGTTATCTCTGCAAAAATGTATACTTGAAGTATATATTTTGAATTGGTTGAATAATGTAGCTAATATTTCGTAAAATCCCTTCAAAATTAAAAATAAGACGTTGGATCGGTTTGCGCTATGGCCGCCCCATTTTATCCCGCCTTTGAAGTAAAAATAAACAGGTGACAAATTTTAGAAAAATGTAAAAACAAGCATTTCTTTAAAATTATGAATTAACTGGGAATTTTACGAACATAGTTCGATAGTTGCTTGTTTTATACGTGTTATGTGTTGAGATGTAACTCACTGGGTTTAGACAGTATAATTACTTAAAATCAAATTGGACCCTTGATCCTATCGAATTTTCTAAAAAGTTTAAGTAACAAAGAAATAATCTTAATTTTTATGAAAATAAGTAGCTACTGTACGTATGAATATGTAAAATGTCAGTGTAATACTTACTCGTATAAAAAAGTAGACCATAAAAAATATATTAAAGGCGAGATCAATTTGTTGTGTTATGTTGTTGCTCCACTTCTGACATCGTTCCACGCCCTCACTGGAAAAAAGTAAGGAACAAGTGAGAAAATAATAACTTTGAATAAATATTTTGATTGATTTGTCAGAATTATTAGACAGTTACACTATATAAACAAGAATTTTAAAAATTATTACCTGGATGCGTCGATAAAGTAAATTATCAACGAAGCTATACTCAGAATGAATACCAATACCACCTGAAAAGAAAGAAAAAAAAATTAATAAATAGAATTAAGATTTGAGAAGTAAATCATTATAATATATAGTATTGTTAAATTTATTAAAATTATTTTTAAAGATATTTCTTTGTTGAACAAATCATAATTTGATGTCGAACGACTTAAATATATTCATAAAATAATCTTGAATTCATATACTGTGTGCTTATTATGTACAGAATATAAACAAATATTTGGAAAATCTAATAACAGTATTTGTTACATCAGTCGAATTCTTTGAAGCAGGTGTATAATTAGAATACAATCAATCGATATTGGTTATTATATATATATATATATATATATATATATATATATATAAAATAGGAAGTTTTATATAAGATAAAACAAAAAAAATCATATAAGTACACTAAATAAATGAAAAAGATTGTTGTCGGTTTATTAGTTGATAATTGCATCGTTTCCAAAGGCAAATTGCTGAAAATTCACTTTCAATGATAAGAACAAAGGCGTATAAAATTATTTAACAAAACCATTTTTAGGATACACAAAAAATAAAAAAGTCACATATTTTTTAGATGTTATCATATTATTACTTTTAATTTGTTTGCGTATTGAAGGGCTTTTTCCTTAAATATTTATTATTATCAATTTCACAATTGTAAGTAGTATTAGGCGGGTTCAATTAAAAATAAAAATTTAACACTTCAATAATACTTTTATTAGACATCAATATCTTTGTTACACCTTTTTATTTATACAAAAATTCATACCACATTTAGTATATATTGGAACTAATTTGCTCCACGGAAATCCACTCCACTAAAAATTGCTTCGTTCAAGAATCTTATTTTAACATAAAATTTTGAAACGCATTTTCTGATAGATCAAATGTTTTTTTAAAGTGAAACTCTCAAGTTTTGATGTGAAGTATTAAAGTATTTTGAGAAGCTCAATCAAATGTTCTTAATGGCCTAAATGAAATTAACTATTCTTAAATCGCGGAAAATTATAACGAACCTTTCTAAAATATGGAAAATGATCAACTCATGAATTGTTAAGATATAAAATATTGTTTTAGGTTTACTTCAACAATTTATCCTATTGAAAACTTTATTGAACTAGTGTATGTAAAAGCGCGAATAAAAATCACATTTCAACAAAAGGATGTACTAAATTAAAATGGTAAAATAATATACTCTGCTCATAATCAGTAATATATATATATATATATATATATATATATATATATTATTTATTTTAAATCAATTAATTATATTATGCAATTTAATAATTGGGTAATATACATGGCTTTAAGAATTATTATATGTACATCCATTTTATTTAGTGCAAGTAATTTTTCATGATAAATGAAGTCATACTCATAATTTTCATAAATCGAGAATAAGTGATTTTCATATTGCTCGAGAAAATAGATGATCGCGATATCGTTCAGCGTTATGTTAATAAGTATGTGCTAACCGTGCATAATTAAGATTTAAAACTGATATGCAATACTTCTATAAATAGCACACTTGTTGCTTCTAAGAAAAGTTTTCGAAGGAAAAATGCATTTGAAATTAATACTGTAATAAATACGCAAACATTAATTATGTGAACGGCAATATTAGTATGAAAGCTCCATGTTTTATTTGCTTCTATGAGTGTATATATATACAATCATAGAAGCAAATAAAACACACACACACATATATATATATATATATATATATATATATCCGTATATATATATATATATATCCGTATATATATATATATATATCCGTATATATATATATATATATATATATATATATATATATACGGATATACGGAGTGTAAAAATAGAAACATTTTGAGCATATAGGGGATATACGAGTTGAAAATTGTTTCGGCCTTGTTCTATATATGAATAACATGGAATATTGAACTACAAAAAGTATAAAAATATTAATCGAGATAAATAGTTTCCATGATTAATTTGCTACACAAGTATACGTAATTATATATATTTTTTGAGTTATCAAACGGAATTGTGTTTTGTTAGAAAAAATTGTGCCAAAGAAGAAGTTAAGGGGCACACCTAGTGTGAAATTTTCGAAAAAATGAATTTTGAATTTTTACATATTTCGATAGGTTATAACTAAAATTTTAAATCGATATCTTAAATAGTTTTTGAGCAACAACAATTTAAAAGAGTATATATGTAGTATATAATATAATGATCATTCTATCTATAAACTCATTTTTAGAATTTGCTGGAGTGATTACTTGGAGACAAATGATCCGATTGCTATCAAATATTTTTTGCATATCCTCTATATAGTTATCCATACGATGACCCTCGAGTTTTTTGATCTGATCAAAAATCGAACTTTGGCAGGCCAAAAACGATCAAAATTTTGGTAAAAATTTAACTTTTTTTTCGACAAGCTGCAATTTTGTCAATTTTTTATTTTTTTTTCTCACCCGAGGGTCATCGTGCAGACAATATGTTCTAGTTTGACGAGATTTTTTTTATATTTCTTATCAACGGAGATGGCTGCAATCACTCCAGCAGTGGAGGATCTTTTTGTTTTTGGCGCCGCTGGAGATTGCGTGTCATTTCGAAAATATTTAATATTGTATTTCAAAAATTTTACTGTGTATTCTCAAAACATGTATAAATATACCCTCAAAAATTGAAATAGATGGATACACTAGTTTTTTTTTTTTTTTTTTTTAATTCCCATAAACGACCTTTTTTTAGGTTGTCACACTAGGTGACAACCTTAGCTTAATGTTATCGTCAAAAAATCCAACTTGCTACATTCATGTTTTTCCGACGTTTTGAGTCCTTCTGAATCGAACCCAAATTTAGAATAGTTAAAAAAAAATTTGACCTTACGCAAAAATGCTAAAGCGATTTTTAAAATTCAAGAACCGTTTGGAAGATCATTTCGCTGAGCAGTTTCTTTTCTTAAAATTTAAATAAAGTTAAATTATTTGCATTTTCAATGAAACATAACATGGAGTCTATGGCCAAACTAAACAAACATCCTGGAATATCATAATCATACGAAATATAGTTAAATTATAAAAAATCATTAAAGTTTGGAATCATATGCCGCGCTTTCAAGACATACAAGATCGTATTTGGGCGCTTTAATTAATACAATTACAAATATCATAAGTTTGTTTTGAATATATCAATTGGAACTCGTACTAATAAGTTTCTAGCAAGAGTCTAAACTTTATTATCCTAAAAGCCTACATTTTACCTGAATAGGTAAATCACAAATAGTAGATTCTTTATGAAAAGTTAATGTAACATTTCTTAAGGCTAAATGCGTAGTATTTGTATTTAAATCCAACCTCGTAGTAAACGTTATCCATCAATGCTTTGATTATGAAATTTTTGCAAATTAAATTTGTTTATTTGAATTCCCCGGCCGGTTTTGGATATTCATTCGGGTTTTGAAACGCATTCGGGCCTCTACTAAATATTCATGGAGACAGTACAAAATTGTGTGTGCAAATTCCAGCATTACATTTGGCTTCCTGAATCTTATAATTAGATTATCTCATCTGGACTGTGAACGCTGCGCGGACCATTTCACCGGGCGAATTACAACGGACATAGAAAAGCTTTCGCGCGATTTGCATAGAATGTGAATTAATTTCAGCCGAGCTTTAACCATGCGGAACGATTTTATTTTGCTAATATTGCTACTTTTCACAATCCGCATCTGGACAGAAGTGACTTGCTTAATTATACTAAGTAATAAGCATTTTCGAATGATTTATTCTATTCTATTCCAAAGCAGCCAAACTTTACGACACAAATCATGATATTTTTTATTAACTTTTAAAATAGCAGTCAGAACAATTAATAATTCTATAAGCTATTGAGATGTACGTAACTCAAATGCTTTATTTGAAAAGGAAAAATAAAAATAGTTTCCTTTAGAGTACTCTCCATTGAAAGTATCTAATATGATGTTTCTCCTTTAGTCAAGTCATGAAATTAGATTTAAATGAATGAATAGTTAACTAAACACTCTAGCATACAAGTAATTAGGAAGTAGTAATAGGATAAATATGGTATCATAAGCATAAATATATTTAAATTATTACAGGCGGTGTCCATTAATCACGTAAGCAATTTCTAAGCATTTTTGGACCCCCTTTCCCTCTTAGTGATACGTAGTGATATTTAAAATTACTCCGGCTCACTCACAAACCATTAAGAGTATTTTTAGTATCTAGAAATAATCGCATTTTTTTTTTTTTTTTTTTTTTGAAAAATTTTGAACTTTTTTTAAATTGAGGTAAAAAGTAAATATATGTGATATCATACAAGACCAACCCCTCCTCCAGGTGATATTTCGTAATTTTTTGTCGAATCAGCCCTACCCCTTTAGAACTCAAGTGATTAATGAACGTCGTCTTGACTAACAGTAATATAAGAATTACCACACTTCTATTATGATCTTATACCAGACTTATTTATACTCAAACAATTTACCATATGTCATTCGTAGCTTGTAAATTAATACTGGAAATAAAAAAAAATCTATTCCAAAAGTAATAGAGTATCAGGTAGAGAGGAGCCTGAAAGACCATGGGTGAAAAATCCACCACCATTATCACAAAACAAGTGAAGTTGGGAATTTTTCCTGACACTATTTTAAAGTAGATATCAAGAGATGTGTTACGAGCCTTTGTCTTAAATCAGGCGACAATGCCATCTAGATATATACGGCCACATTGTAAATAATTTAAAAAGAATTTGTTTTCTTTGTTAGTCTTTTTGGTTTTTAGCACGGTTTAGCACGGTTGTTTAGTTAACTATATCTAAATATAATATTTTAGTATACGTTACTTAATTATTTCATAAGGTGTGTTGTTATTTTTAAGTTAGCTTCAACAGTTTTTTTATATAACCTCTATAAAAGCGTACATGTGGTGAGGGTAAAAACGACCAACTAAACCAAAGTTGTAAATAGTGAAAAAATAAAAAATAAAAAAATAAAATA